GTTCTGGATCGTCCAGCTGTTCCGGTGAGTTGCTATCAATAAAAGGGGGAGATCTGTACGTATTCTTATGTTCTATATTAACCATGGCTATGTCCCAAATCTACTCTAATAGATTCCGTGGGAGCACGAATAGGGCAACGTTGTACGTGGAGCCAGGGGGGTTTTCGAAAGCAAAAGTACAAGACGGCGAGAATGAAAATCTTTGAAGCGCGGCCGATATGGTCGTGTGCAATCTGTTGACCAATTACAATTAGGCGAGTCGCGTAGGTTGATAATAAGCCAGCACTGATCAGTGATGAGGAGCTGTTGTGCACGGTATTGTGTAAATCGTCTAAGGACGAAAAAAAGACGTACCTTCTCCCCATCCTCCGTCGCTAGTGGACGCTGGATTAAGCTCGTTCCTAAACCGCGAGGGGAAAAGACGCTGATCCAGAGGCACAAACAGCTTCACGCACATTGCACTCGCTGAACACATACACACGGCGTCGGTTCTTGGTCGGTATCCAAGCGTGCGAAGGCACAGAGACACGGCACTTCGGCGTGCCAAGGATGATTTGAACACGCCGCCAGCCCTTCCTTTCGACGCGTTGTGCCTTTTTCCTGCGACACTGCACTTTCGCAAAATTTTCCACATGTTCACAACGGAAAGTCTCAACAATACACAGAGTCTTCAGAAAACTTCTTCGGCGAATGACGACGAACGAGTAGAAAACGTGTCGTCAGCACGCTGGAAAACCGCAGCAAAGGCTAGCAAAAACGGCAAATCGTATCCCAAGCGAGTGAAGCCCGGTGGCTTCACTTGCGCTGCAGCGAACAAGCGGGGAAGCGCGATCCAGCAATTGTCATAGAGATCAGTGTTCACAACATTGTCGGGGAACGGAGTGCGGATGCTCTAAGGCAGGTTGTAAGATAGACAGGTGGGGAAACGAGAGCCAAATGAGCGACCAGATTGTGTCCCCATCGGTTTTCTTTTTTTCTGTGGCGCCACCTATGTGGAGCACCGCGAACTCTCACTCCAGGTGGGCGACCGGTGGCGACCGGCTGAACTGACAGAGGTGGTTTATTTTGCGCACTCTCCCATAAAGTTGCATGCAAATCCGATTCCAATTTTTGATGGTGATGAAGGTTTGCGGCTGTTCCCTTTTGAATCGGGCGGTCCCGTAGAGTTTGGGACCTAGCCAGTGGGGATTCGGTTATCCCCGTTGGTGAACTATAGTCGGTTGCAAGCTAAGAAAAAACCGGAAATGCCTCTCAGAGGAAAATGTAATCCTACGCCGAGAAACGCCAGCCAATTGTTTTCATGACGTCACGATTCTGTGGACCAATCGCGATCCTTTTGAAAAAAAAAAGCTCAACATGGCTGCTGGCCTTAGCAACGCGATGCTATAGTTTCTCGTGACAATTATTCTGCTTTTTTGCACCGTGTTTTACGTGCCCGAGGTTACGCCACGAAATCTTGATGGTATCGGCTTGCGTTTGCAGCAGTTTTTGCGCGACAACGTGAGAATCCAGCGACGCTATCGCCAACGAAAATTTCGAAGCGGGCGCGAGGCTTAGCACTGCTGAGAGGTATGTTAGACAGTATCTTGGACAGAAAATGAATTGGGAAGACGGTACATTGGACATGAATTTCTTTCTTTCTTTACTAAACAGCTATTTCGTTGACAAAAACGTATTCTAACTTATTTAAATGTCCTGAATGAATTAAATAAATATTGTAGTAGTTTAAGACAGGTTTCCTGGAGGAAGAAAAAGCAACGTTGCTAGCGAACTACTTTCTCGACGGCGGAGGCACTTCAGATGGGCGCAATGCGCTTGTGGGTGGAGCTAAAAGATTGTTCTTAGGTTGCATCCGACTATAGCATCCACCAGTTCTCTAACCTTCGCTTCGTGGCTTCCATCTGCTCACGCCACCCTCCGTTGGTTCCCGGTGTAGCGTCGGCGTTGTCGTTGCCGTTAGTCCCACCCGCAGAGTCTGCCACTGAGCTGGAAGCAGACCCAAAGCCGAGTGCCTCTGCCAGTGAGAGCTCCCGGGTTGCCTGTCCACACTCCGCCGGTTGAACTGGTTGCAGACCGGTGCACGACAGCACGAGGTGTTCAATTGTCTCATCCGCCTGACCACACACACGGCATGCTGCAGATTCCACCGTCTGGTCGAAGCGACGGCGATACACCTACGTTCGCAGCCCTCCTGCGCGTGACTCAAGGAGGAGCCGGCTGTCCAGGCTGTTGTCGTATAGCCTAGTCTCTGCCGAAATTTCGTGCTTATATCGATGGTACATACATAGTGTCGACTTGGACTTCGCCGTTTCTGCCCACCGAGCTGCCTCCTCCTCTCTCACCCTCTTTTGAATCTTCATTTCCCACCTCCTGTCTGATGTAATAGTTACAGGGGTTGAAAAGAAGCCGTATTTCTTCTCTAACGGATACAGCCGCTTCCTCCAGCCAGTCTGCATTCCCGTGAGATACGTGTAGACGAAGAGTCTCTTGGCCCACCGGCCGCGGTCCATGAGACGGAGACGACTGTCGTAGGTTATCTTACTGGTCGCCTCCCTGGCCTCAAACGACGACCACCCAAGATCTCCCTGGACTGCTTCGGTGGCCACCATTCCGTGACAGCCCAGAGCCTGCCTCCCGACCTCTCGTTGGCGACGTTCCATGACTTCCCGCACTGTGCCAGGGACACAAAAAACCGCGTTGGCGAAGGTTAGTCCAGGCACCACAACCGCCTTGCATAGTTCGCGAGTCACCAGAAAACGATTGCAACTCCAAAGATTACGTTTTCGGAGTACATTCGTACCTCGCACGGCTGCCTGTCGGTGGGTATAACGATCGGACAAGTACTCCGGCTTGTTGGTTAGTACAACTCCCTGGTATTTGTACGACTCCCGTACCTGTGCTTGGTCGCCGTTCAGCACCAGATTGTTTAATTTAGCCCCATCGGACCCGGCTAATTGAAGGACTGCCGACTTTTTGGCGTTGAACCGAAGGCCCAACGTAGCCGCCTCCGTCTCACATATACATACTAGACGCTGCAGGTCCTCCACCGTCTCCGCCGTCAATACAATATCGTCCGCATAGGTGAGGCCCGGCAGCATCCACTTCACCTCTGCGCCTCCTTCCATGTGTGTCAGGGAAAAACCCACCTCCGACTAGATCAGGCGTTCCTCCAACCCTGACACATACAGAATATAAAGGAGCGGGGAGAGTGGGCATCCCTGTCTGAGATCCCTCGTCACTGTCACTTGCTCTGAGTCGACTCCCTTCAGTTGCGTCATTACTGTATTGCGTGAGTGTAGGCGCCGTATGACAGCTAGCCACCGATGAGGAAGGTGGAGCTCCTCCAAACGTCGCACGAGTTGAGCGTGCGGCACACTGTCATATGCTTTGCCACATCTAGAAAGCAGCACAGCAGTCTTCTTTCCTGTTTTCGGGCAATTTCAATACACAGCGTGAGGGTGAACAGGTTGTCTTCCAACCTTCGACCTCTCCGAAATCCGCCCTGAAGTTCGGTGAGCAGTTCGTTCTTTTCTGCCCATGCTGCCATCAGTTCCCTGATAATGTGGGCGAAGGTCCGGTATACCGTAGAGGTCATGGTCAGGGGCCGATAATCCTTGAGGAACTGTTTGTCGCCCCCTCTCTTCGGGATCAGAACCACGCGGCCGAACCTCCAGTCTTGGGGCACAGGTTCCTCTCCCCTTAAAATTGCTCCAAAGATATCCACCAGCTGCTCCACTGCATCTTTTCCCAAGGACTTCAGAACGCTCGCCGGGACCCCGTCCAATCCTTGGGAGGTAGCCCCTTTCAAGCGTGCCAGTGCACGCACAACCATCACTCGGCCGACGTCCCCCTCTTGGTTGGAGTCCGATTGATCCGGGGCAAGTCGGCCTTCTTGTGGTGTGGACACCTCCTCAGGAGCAAATGTCTCCATCAGGTACTTGGTGAGGTGGGTTCCAAGGTCTTCTGGCGGATTCCCCGTGCTGTCGCAAATCGGGGTACCCGCAAGCAGACCAGTACACAATCCGGTCACGGCGCTGCGGTAGGCTTCTATGGGCCGTTTCCCCACCTGTCTATCTTACACCCTGCTCTAAGGGCAGCTCATTTAGTGGCTCTAGAGGAGACTATCTGACGACATTCAAGATGGCTGCGCCCTTGTGGAAAAGGTGTGTATATCTCAACCGTGACCTTAACACGGTCGGCCACCGATCCCCCACTGTGCCGCTATTCGAGTCCAAGGGCCGCTCATTTCAGTGCTGCACCGTGCCATTTGCTTCGCAGACACTGACACCGTGCCTTGAACCATTAGGTGATTCTAAGACTAAAAGTCCGTTCACACTCTTGCGACCGAGTACGACGGAGAGAGACCAAGACTTGTTAAAACCTCTTAAAATTTCTTAGGAGGAGAGAACATACTGGCACGCTGGCGCCATCTATGCGGGGAACCTGGAACTGTATTTCACAAGAGAGAAGGTTTTGCGGGATTTCCGAGGTCAAATGTGTGTAATACCTGTAAGAAAGGCTCGTTTATAACTTTACAAAAATTTTTCGAGCCAAGAAAGAAAGGATAATGCAGGAGAGAAGTAGAAAATATGCCGGACCGCCAAGTTTACACTGCTACCCAATAGACGGCGCCAGTGTGTCCTCTTGTTGTAAAAGGTTTTAAGGAGCCTAGTTCTAAGAGGTCGCAAGAGTGTGAACGGGCCTTTAAACAAACACAAACACATCAAGATCTTTACATACAAATTATGCTGCGCTTGAGGCTTGAATCGCGGGTCTGTTCGTACTTGCGCGATCGCCATACCTGCTTTTTTAGCCCACCACAGCTTTGTGCTCCAACAATGTCATTTTGCAGCTGTCACAAATGTCGGTCAAGCTCCAAAAATATTTTTTCCCCTAGGGGTCGAGCGAGACAAACTATATTCAACTAAATTTATTCAGGTATTTTGCATACGTCCAAATTCGCACAACCTCCGTCACCGCTTGTCCCCTGCGATGTGGCATCAGCCGCGACACAGCAGCTCCAGGAAGATGTCCAGTGTGCTCGCGCTGCCTGCGGAGAAGGCCGTCGTGAGGAGTGTCATCTCGCACATGGTGAATGGGATGTTGCGCTCCCTGGTAGGCATCCAGAACTCGCGATAGTCACCCATGTGGCCCGTGTCCAGGTCGAAGCGTACGGAAACGCCCTGGCGCTGGAAGTGGGCCAGCTTCACAGACAGCGTCTTCTTGAAGGGCCATTCCAGGACTGCGTCGTTGGCGCCCCTGCAGAGCCTGAAGCAGGGACGCACAAAAAGGACGCAGTCCACGCATCGCAAGTGGATCTCTAGCCGCGCCATGTAGCCGTCCAGCGAGAAGACGTCGCTGCAACTAAGCGTCTGGCCGCACCGCGAGGCCTGGGCGCAGAGGGATGCCATGTTGCTGACGGACCATAGCGCTCTTCGAGCACGCTGGGGGTCGTCAGAGCGAATGCCGCCGCTCTCCAGCGAGGCGTTGGCTTCCTCACTCGATCCGATGATGTACAGGGCATCGCTGAGTTGTCTCGGCTCTCGCGGGACGGGTTCTGGGGTTGGCGTCGGCGCCGGGACGGGAACGTCGCCGGTCCCGCGACACTGCAAGGCCTCCAGTTGGGCTTTAAGGGCGGCCAACTCTGCCTGTAGGAGGCGTGAGACGCTCGCGGCGGCTGCGTTGGTTTCTGAGCGCGAGTGCTTCATCTCTCCCGAGAGGGTGTTGAGGCTTGCCTGCAATCAATAAAATAAAAAAAATGCTATCAAAATTTAAAAAGAAAAAAAAAACGTTTACTGGCTTTTGTTGTTTTCTTTTGGTTTAAAGTAGCACATTCGTGCTGACTGAAAACACAATTCAAATGTGGATGCACACGCAATATATGTGTACCTTTTTGCTCATAGATAACTGAGGTTTGTTGTTTTTTTTTCTTTTTTTTCTGGAACAAACAAGTTACTTCCAGCTGCGCATGCAGCTCGGATCAACTCGTTTGTTCCGGTAGAGTTTGTTCTAGAGTCTTTTTCTGAAGCCATGGCACATCCAACACCCTCCAGAAAATCTAAACAGGCCTCTGGGTGCCTTGTATCTGCTTACGTCCAAGGTCTACACCACCTGACAAGGACAGTGAACAAAGGACAGCTTCGCCAGAGAAGGATTGATCTTAACAGATGAAAAAGACGAGAGATGCTGCCGCCTCGTGCAACTTTTCTGTGCGATTCAGTCGCCCCTGAAGAGGAAACGAAGCAGGTTTCAAAACGGGATACTAGGGTGCCTTAATGTCCTTCTGTATAGGGTGATGCCATCCTTTGTAGTACCCGAGGCCGACAGCACGCGCTCAGGGGTAAAATACAAAGAAATCGACGAAAACAAAATGTCGCGATAGCACAGTCAGCGCCACAAACGCGTGCAGGGACACGCTCTTTCACGCGCTTCTGAACAAAAAAGAAAAATAAACTTGTGGGACAAAATGGCCAGATGTCTCCACCCTAAGCAAAGCGCACATGAAGGCACCCTACGGGATACCTTTTCGAGGCTTTGGTAGGATTATTTACCTTTTATTATTAAAAGCTAACAATGTATTTTTTCTTCGTTTTTTTATAATTCTTGTTGTCTTTCACACATTTATTGTATGTGCGCAACGTGAGCGAGCGTGCTTCCTACGGCATTCTAGGAAAAGCGAAGAGTGCGCGTGCAGCTTTGAGGGGCGGCCAGGCCGCGTGAGTATACTGACGTATATGCGACAAGGAACTAAAGGAGCTGGGCAGCGCTCTGGGACGTCAGAACGTCGAGCTGTGGTTGGAACTTGGAATGATTAGTGGGTAGAGCTAAAGCCCTTGTCTGTACTCATTTTTGGAACGCGTTCGATTGCCAAACGACGGTGTCGAGCGATCCACGTTCGCGTTAGTACGCGTTCAAACAGTGAGCAGACAAAAAGGCAGCCATAGCCTCATGCCTACTTACTAATCGTTCCAGTCAAAGCTCGTCGTACTGACGTCTACGGGCGCTCTCGCCTCCCCTTGTTCCTCACTTTGTTGGTGCATAGCTTTGACTTCATATCGACGAAATGTTGTGCCATGCAACCCCGGGCGCGCCCAAAATGCTGACCCCGGGCGCGCCCAAAATTTTTTTTCCGAAGAACTGCGAGATTTGTTTTTACCATCTAGAGAATGGGTCTTAGACGATGCATGTATAACTGCCATGGCAACGTGCAATGCTTCGCTGCCACGCGCTTTCCTTTCACTTCCAAAACTATAGTGTGACCGCGGCCGATGCAGGGAGTCATCCCAGAGTAACTATATCCCAGCCCATTGAACGCCACTTGACCTGGAGCTTCATGAAACGCAAGGCAAAACCAGTAAGTCGCATTCTCTCAGTGCTGGGTTGACTTTGATGGCGTGCAGCGTCCGTTTGGTACAGCTACCGCGGCACTCCAGACGTCCATCTTTCCTTTTGTGCTTGGAGATTGCTCGGGCTATGGCATCTCTTGGCAAGCGTGCGCAGACTATAAATAGTTTTAGAGTACACAAAGAAAAACAAAAGCGTTCATTCTTACAACCCTTGTCACAATAAGACACCCAAAACTTCAGTTGGATGTGCAGCGCACTGATGTTGAACCGACGGTACCAACTTCCACGAGCGGCTTGATAGCCGAGCTGTACAACTTATTTAAATAGCTAATGTACGTGTGACTGACTGCAAAAAACGTAATCAGTGTTTCCTTGGCCATATTGTAAAAGCTCGGTGTTTTTTTGTTTTTTTTTTCGTTCTCAAGTTTTTGATACGTACTTTAGCTGTTCAAGTAAACATCTTCGACAGAAATCTGTCTATTTTGGGGAAACAGCCCGAAAAATATAAATTTCAAACCAAAAGCTCGAAAACAAGCAGTTCCAAACGTTTCGGGGTGGACTTGACTCCGTCTTCAGGGGGTGACTAAATGAACCAAACGGACACTTTGGAAACACGTCGATTCATATGCTGAACACCGGCTACTTCGTGGAACGTGCCTTGCAAGTGAGACTTAGCGATGATGACACGATGGTGCCTTTCGACGTTGTGTTACTCTTTACTAGTGTCCCAGTTCCCTTAGCAGTTGCTGCAACCAGAAAGGTTCTCGAGAAAGACGAAACATCGGGCTCAAGAGCCAGCCTCTGTGTGGATGAACTGTGCCGCCTTCTCGAGTTCTGCCTTAGCAGTACGTACTTCAGTTTCAAGGGTGAACTCTTCAAACAAGTGAGCGGAACGGCAATGGGCGCTTCTATTTCTGCCACGACGGCAAACCTCACAATGGAAGTGGTTGAACAGAGGGCGCTAATCACTTTCGCCAACCGGCCAAAAGAGTTTATGCGCTATGTGGATGATTGTTTTTCCATCGTGAAGAAATCAGAGGTGACCCATATTTTGGCACACCTGAACTCTATAGAACCGGCCATCCAGTTCACCGCAGAATACGAGAGAGATGGAGTCTTGCCTTTCCCCGATGCTCTGGTGAAAAGGCAAGGAGTCAAGCTGAGATTCACGGCCTACAAGAAACCAACCAACACTGGACGCTACCTCGATTTTGACTCGAACGCCGCACTGAGTAACAATTAAGGCGTCAATGGTATCTACTTTTGTGTCTAGAGCTGCTCATCGAAAAAACACAAAATAAAGGAGAAACAGACCTTCCGAGCTGACCTCCAAAGAAACGGCTGCACAAGGAGTTTCGTTGAACGCGTCGCCCGTCGGCACTGTTGCACGCGCAATAACCATGGATCGCCAGGTGACAGATAGCCCCGCCAAAGGTTCTAATTTTCAATTACAAAATTTATTATCTAGGGTCAAAAAGAAAAGACGAAGTTGTTGAAGTAATTTTGATATCAGGTAAGCTTCAGATGTTATTAGTTTTTGGCGCTCGTTTTGTCAGAGTTTTATAGATGTGGTCTTTGTCGCACGAACAAAAGAAACACCTCAATAGTTTTGCATTGGGCTCATGGTATTGGGGCAGGCTCCGGCAAATCGTAAATAGTCTGAGTAACCCTCGCCCTGGTCTATTTTGTTTGCGATGTTGACACCTTGAGCAACGCCATGTAAACAACCTAAACAATGTCACCTGCCCAAACGTGGCCAGAGTAGCCGACGTGCTCTGGTGCCCTGACGTCATGAACAAGAAGCTTCGAAAATCGCTGCAAGAACGGCCGCCTCCGCCGCCGCCGCTGGGAATAGATGTATAAACACCTCCTGTTCATTCGTTTTTCAATGCAGGTGTAAACGTACCATAAACTCCGCCTCCAGTGTGAGCTTTCTACCTTCGATAACGAGTCAAGTCGACGAAAAGCACGGAGAGCGTGATGGGGCCATACCAGCCAGGGGGTAGGACCTGCGCCTTCAAAAACGTTATCACTAGTGGATTCGCGCAGCGCTAGTTAGCTCTCGTCAGAATCACCGACTGCGCATCTTGCAGCCTCTCTCTCACCGACCGCGACGGAAGCACGTGGCGACGCCAACATGGTCGCGTCTGCCTCTTTGTGGCAATTTTCGTCGAGTTTCGGCGTGTTGCCGCTTAAGGTGGGTCGGGGACCTACTAACGATAGCGTCTTTCACAGGCCTCCTACCTTAGGTGGTATTGGCTGGGGAGAAGCTTCTTCTGTAGATCTCTTGTTGCAACAAACCAGAAACAGTCATAGTCAATACAGTTTGAACACACGCGGCCGCTGATATCTAACCTCAATTTCTCTCCGCTCAAACCACAGGCGAAAATCTAACTTGTTTATTTATATTACACAATGAAGATCGTATAGTAGTACGAGCTCCCGTTCATGGAGCTTAATCCCACCACGCGAGATACCTAGCTGGGCAAGCGTCTTCCACTTCTTTGGCCTTTCACGTGAAAATATCTGTGCCAAAACTATTCCACGCGCTAGCGCGCGTGAAATGGTTTTGAAACTCCTGTTTCTTGGTCCATCTATGTACGAGAAACCAAAGTTCGGCGGTCAAATATCGATTTCTAAAAGGAAGTTAAAAAAAGGGTAGGAATAACTTGTCAATGCCACTACTTTGAATCGCACCTGTTGCATGATCTTGAGGACGTAAAAATGTATAAAGAAGATGGCATGTCCACACCTTCGACTATAACCCGTTGCAGGTCTAGAGTAGCAGGACAAGCGCTCCCACAAAACGTTTAGCTCGCCATGATCGGGGGTTTCCTCCTCTCCAGCGTTCGCACTGCTAAATTGGAAAGAGTGGAGGGCTTTGTGAAAGGAGCTTGTTCTGCTTTTCTTAGCCTGCAACAGACGAAAGCCGGTATCCACAGGTGGTCATGGTTCAGTCCGTTGCTGACAAGCGCGAGCTTACAAGGAGCTTGCAGAACGTTTGCTCAACGTGCATTCCACAACACCAAGATTGGGCCCGTTCTGAACCTGCGTTGTGAACACCGGACTCAGATATGGTGCCCCGCGAATGCCACAAATGGCTTTAGCACGAGAGCTCGAGGTCGTTGCTTTGAAGCGTTCTTCTGCAAAACGAGCGCTCGCGCTAGAAATGCATGTCTCAAACACAGGAGCGCGGGTTAGGTCACGCTTGTTGCCTTGGCTGCAGTTTCAGCTTAAGGGTGAACAGAGTATATATGGTGCACGAGGCCCATATTCGTTCGAGGACGTGCCTGCAGCTCGTAGTACCCGTCCCGGAGCTCGGTGAAGGAGCGTCGAAACTCGGCGCTGGCCTTGAGGATGTCGCTGCAGAGTAGACCAGCCTCCCGGCTGCCTCCGCCCTGCACGCTGGTGGCACTACTGCAACCCTCTGCGTAGTGCTGCACCAGGTCGTGCCGCAGGACGTCTTGGTGACACCTGCAATTTCGGGTAGTTTCAAAGAGTGAAATCGCCATCAGAATCGCACTCCCCATGGCGTGACACCTTGGTCCCCATGACCGCCACAAAAGGTTGCAAATCTGAAAATGGTGTAGAATCGCGGTATTTTGGGGAAGTTTGCGCGTTTTCTCTCACTTGTATTGAGATAAATATATAAAAAATACAAGCAGAAAAGTTTTCAACGTAAGAATCGTTAGACTATAGACCAATTTATGTGGTCCTTTCAGCCGCAGTCACACAGCACATACATCATACATAAGAGACGATACTCACTGTAGACCGGATGAAAAAAGTATATATCTGCGGACAGGCCTCGTGCATTCTTGAAACACTGCTTTACACATATGTATATTGTCTAGAGAGTTTTTGTATGACCAATGTGACAAGGACCATCAACGTGGAAGTAACGCGCAATGTCTGCAGACCGTCTTTTGTGCTGGTGCTAATACATGATACAAAACAAAGTCTACAAACACCGTCAGAGACGTGCTTCTTCCTCGCACATTGGCCATACAAAATCTTTCTTTAGACGTGTTGGAATCATAGATATGGACGAATCTGCGAACATGCTCGAGTACTGTCCGCAGACACTTCTCTCTGCGGCATTGTGACCGCGGATTTCAAGACGCTAACGGTCGCTCTGACGCGGTAGCCCTCGCGTATACCTGTTGCAGCTGACCCTGTGGAAGGCGCAGTGCTCCTCGAAGTGCTCCAGGAGCCCCGAGACCGGACCGACGAAGCAGCAGCCCGGGTTCCAGCAGGCCGCCCTGAGACGAAGAACCTGGTCTGGAGGGAGCTGCAGCCTGCCCACGGTGTCTTGGTCGTACGCGTGGCCGTCCAGGGGGCACACGCGGCCCTTGCCCTCGGTGGCAGCGAAGCAGGGCTCGCAGAAGGCGTGCGAGCAGGGAAGCACCAGCGTCGTTCTGGGCACCACTCCGCACAGGCTGCACACGCGGATGGCCGGCGGGGGCTTCTCGAAGGCCAGCGAACGCCAGTTCAGGCCGGTCTGGAAGCCTACGACGGAATAAGAAGCGGCTGTCGCGGACATGACGGTTCTGCAAGTGCAGTGTCCGAGGAACAGCACGAGGGAACGTGCTGGAATGATGTTGGTACGAACGCGCCACGAGCACCACTGCCACGTTCCACGCTTGCCACAGCTAAACCATAGAGTTACTACAATAAACGCTAGAGTTTCAGGTGGCGCTAGTATGCTGTTGCATTTTGAAGCAGACAGCAACTAGTCTAAATTTAATTGTCAATAATGCATTCCTATGGGAAAACGCAAATGCGTTTTCCCTTCGCGCTCGATGATAAGAGAAAATAGTGCTGAGTGTTGTGACAGATTAAAAAGTTCGGAACGTTTTACAATCGGATGTACAAAAGTCAGAGCGTTTTTCTTTGGAGTTCATGGCGTTAAACTTGTGACGGCTTGAAGCTGAGCTAGTTGGTTCATGGTTGTTAAAGTGCCAGCTGAACGTTTCAAGGACACACACACACAGACGAACAAAAAAGGCAGACACACCGCTGTTTCAGCTGGCACTTTAACAATCATGGCGTAAAACACTGCGCTAAAATAGCCCAGTGTACATGTATTATACGTGTGGACGTTGCAGACTGCTGTTATAGGGCACGTATTTTGCATATAGGCAATGCTATGAAGTACACAGAGTGAATCAGCTTGACAGAACACCAAAAATACTGCTAATAGATGCCAAATCAAACAATCATTACAGACGACAAGAATGAAGCAGAGAGTTATGGAACGAAGAACACGTACTGGATTACTAACAAACTTTGCCTGATTAATCAAAATAATTCAGTAACCGAGTGTTGTTGCTCTGAAATAAATATGATTTTTGTTCTTTTTGCTTGAATTGATAGCTTGTATTCACATTTCACGCTGTACAACATAGATTTGGGCCTCAATTTTTGCTAACTTAAACATCGCTCAGTAATAAAAAAAACATTAACAAAATCAATTACACTTTTATAATGTGAGTAAAGCTACATAGTACCCGTTACAAGTAAAGAAACCACGCTGGTTTCTGTTATTTCCTGGTGAGGAAAAAATATCGCGTACGTTTTCCCATAGGAATACACAGGAGCACTGGAAAGGTCGACTGTTTGCTGCCTCCTTCAATTTGCAATCGGAAGTCTTGTAGACACTAGCGCCAGCTGAGGCTTTGGCGTTTATTGTAACAACTCTATGGTTAGAATGGGCAGAAGGTGGCGTCCGTATTCTTCATATAGGGAGAGAAGTGTCACGGAAGTAGGAGTGGCCACGAAATGTCCCCTCAGTCTCTCCGTTAGTGAGACGATCATTTCCATGTCTTTTTTTCTTCCACCAAGTTTCCTGTCTTTTACCACTATCTCGGGTCATTTTTATGGTGGTTATACACCGTTCACCCTTTAGCTGAGACTAGAGCCACTCTATATGGCAGCGTAGCTGCCAGAGTAGCGACACGACGCAAAATGATCTAGATACACGACGTCAGATGCGCCTATAGTGATGTCCATTTTGGGCCTGAGAGGTTTCTACGGTAACCGTACTGCTAGCGACGCCGGGCGGCAACCTTTAACTAGTTGATATCTCCATTCGTTAATTGAAAAGTGGTAAAAGACCTAAAAGGCGCTTTGCATGGTGGTACGGCCCGGGCCTCTGGAGGAGCGGTTACTGTTTCTTCTGTGAAATGAGACATTTTGCAGCGTGCACGGACAAGGCGAGTGGTTTTCCGCGCCGCCGGGATGGCGGCGGCTTCGTGGGACGAACGTACCGTCCTTGCACTTTCGGACTTCGCTCCTATGGAACAAAATCCGATTACGCCGCTCACGACAGGACGATCGGCTTGGGACATGACTGCTGCTCGACTGCCTCATAGTAAGAGAATGTATGCTTAGCACCATACTTCTTCAATACCCTATCATTCATTCAAGATGAGATTATCTCACCGACTAGCGGTGACCGACGTCGACGACGGTATCACCAAGGTATCACCCTCGTTTCGGGGCGATGAACAGTCGACGGGGTTAAACCAAGAAGGACAGCACGGTGGTCTACAGAGGATTGTTAACGCCATCATAAGAAACGGACGACGGATATGAGGTGTTCTTGCCGACAAGCCAAGTGGTCGTCCGGAAGTTTACCGGCATGCAAAATGTCAATATTTTTATCTGGTGTAGACGTATACCCGTGTTAAAGGGGCCATGAAATGATTCTTTAACTTCTTCCTTAGCTTTAATACTCAACTCAAAAGAGAACAGTGGAATCACGCGGTCGTGACATGCTAGGCCACCGGTGGGATGACCCCAAGCTTCCACCGTGCTTTTTAAGCACACCATAGAACTTGTCATTCGCAAGTGCACTCATGTGCACTCATTGGCCACGAACGCGAATTCAAATATTCATCGACGAATTGATTGTTGACGAGCGCATACGTCCGAGTGACGCAGTTTTCGTGTCAAATGCGTGAGCTGCGGTAGGCTGGCGTCGTTTTGGCTTTAGTAGGCATTGCAAAGAGGACATTTAGAACCATACAAACATGATGATAGCATCATGGCGCACGGACATTAATGAGTACAAAACGGGCCAAGCTACAGAAAATAAATATTACACTTATGAAAAATAATTGTCTGTAACTTGTTAATTACAAAGACGAACACACCTCTGAGCATATAAAATTAATAGTGTGTGTTGATGCATTCTCATAGAGCAGGTCATTTCATATACGTCATTTTAGCAAACGCCAGCTTGTCACTCGATAAAAAAGCAAAAAAACACTGCGATCAAATGCAAGCTATTGCAACGAAAGGACGTTTATCAAACTCTTCAGAACTGTCAATCCGTAAAATCGTCGATTAGTACAAAAGGTAAAAGGTCGCAGACGCTTCCTCGCTTAAAGTTGCTGTGATTATTCGGTGACCCAGGGCGAAACAACTTCCCCTTTCCTGAGAATCGAAACCTTTCGTTTCGATTCTCAGAAATTCCAACATTCAAAGGAAGCTAGAAAATGCGAAAATATTATCCTAAAAGCTATATCGTAAAATCGTTGATTAGTACAAGACGTAAAGATCGCAGGAGGTTCCTCGCTAAAAGTTTGTGATTACGCGGTTACCTGGGCTGAAACAACTTCCCCAAGGTCCAACATGGGACGCATACAATTCGCATTGATTCTCAGACATTCCAACGTTCAAACAATGCTAGGAGTATGCGAAAATTACATGCAAAATGTCTTATCGATCCTCGAACACATCCAGGAATACGACAACCGCTACTGCGATATGACTGATGCTGTCGCACAGGTGCTAATATCCAGAGCGATCTTGCACAGAAAAGGTATAAAGTCACATTCTTTCAGATCTTCACGTTATACCTGCGTCAGAGAGCACGAAGAAGTCCGAAATCGTCGGCAAGCAGCGGCACATTACGACTACCGCGCACCGAACAAACTGGCATCTACCAGCTCTGGGCTCTGCCATCTTACCGGTGACATCACGGCTCTTGCGAGGTCACGTGACGAGTAGTCACTCGGTCGCTATGGGCACGGCGCCAGCTCGGTTCGTTGCTATGGTACCGCGTGTGATCAATCGCAGTGAGAGGCGGCACAGGGAAATGCGTAGCGCTACTCTGGCAGCTACGCTGCCAGATAGAGTGGCTCTAGTGTGCGCTAGACCACTCGGCCATCGATTCCCCTAACCCCCCCCCCCCTTACAAATGTAGAACCTCCCCCTAATTTATATTCCTGGGGAAACCCCTGCTTGTGTTAGCAAGGGCAGAAAGCCCGCGCGCACCAGCTCGGAGCACTTGGAGCGAAAGCTCGCGCTTCAGAGTCCACCCGTACGAAAATGTCAGATATGGCCCAGATATTTTTTATATACGGCCAGATATGATAATATAAGCAGTCAAATAAGGCTGCATTCCGCCATATATGGGAGAAAATACGGCCGTATAAATACTGCCAGATCTGGCCGTATAAGTGCGTAAACACGGCCGTATAGACGCTTTCAGACAACGGCGCATGGGTGCCGCCATAACCGACCTTCAGTTAATGTTTTCTATCATTGCGTTCGCTCCACTTCATCATTACCATCGCAGGACAGGTCATTGCCGTTTTAGATTCTACCGTGTCCTTCTCCCCAGCATAGGCCCTTTTGGAGACTCGTCAACGCCCGCTTCAGTGGCTCGACATCTCAGTAAGACAAGAGAAGGTCGGCTATGGCGGCTTAATTTGGCGCGCGCTGAAAGCGTCTATATCGCCATATACGCGTGCAAATATTGGGCAGGAGATCGAACTATAGGGGGCGCTCTGACCCGTTTGTTTTCCCCACGCTCGGTGTTTACTCAACACAAGGCCTGTGCACATGCCGACAGACCTTATGGGCATGTTCATGTCATCTTCTACAATAGAGCGCGGGGCACAGTTTAATGTAAAAAATACTAACAATCGACGAAGCGACGTTAAGTGCCGGATCTATCCTCAAAGAATGCGAGCTTGACCCACTTCGGCTTTTGTGCTGAGCTGGGACCGCGCATGCTAAATTGTTCATGCAGGCCGTAGTGGAAACAAAAGAGCCCCTCCTCCCCCTCACCGGAGAACACGAACACCAGCCGAACGCTGACGCCGCGTTCGGTTATGCCGGCCGAGCGCTGAGTCATTGTATTTGTTGTCCCCATCCGTGTAGCTGTAAAGTTAACCGCTTGGGGCGTCACGGTCTGTCCTCCTCCCCAATAGCCCCTGATAATGATATATGGGCCCGTTTCAGTCGTGCAAGCAACGAGTTATACGCACTCGCTAAGGCACTAGTTGATTGATCTATATTGCATGAGTCTCATGTAATTGGTTAACTATTGTCAACATCCTTAAAGTGAAGTTATTCCAGGTATTTGAACCAATTAATCAATTGCGCATTTTGAAGATTGAAAGACAAATGAAATTTGGTTGTATGTTTGATGTGTGACAATATGACGAAGTGCTAAAGTCTCCGGGCCAAGGTCCTGCAGTTGCTTCATGCGGGGCACCCTGGCGTGGAAAAGACCAAGATGGTGGCACG